CCAGAGTCACAGATTCCACTTAAGATTTTCTTCTTCCTCCTCTGCCCCTCCCCCACTCATGCATGCACATGTATGCTCTCTCTCAAAATAAAATAAATAAAATACAAAGTCAACAAACTAGAAATAGAAGGAAACTTCCTCAACCTGATTTTTTTTACATGAAAGCTGATTTTTATCGTCAACAGCCATTCTTTAAACATCAACATGCATATAGAATATTCTGCACACACATCACAGTTTTTTAACATTAACAGTTAAACACACAACCTACATCCTTATGAAAATAGTCAAAATGCAAACATAAAACAAAAGTCTTACTAATTTTTAAAAAGTTTGTGTTGGGTACCATTTGTACAACATAGTTAATTTAGACGTTTTCATTTTGGCTGTACATAAAAAAGGAGCCAGTTGAAAATAAAGTCATTGAGGGTTTTTAAGTAGCAGAATAGGCAGTTTTGCCATGCAGGAAAAACAATGTTAAATATTAGTTTTCCCAAAAAATCCACATTTAAAAATATTTAGTTCAAGTCACAGAATTTTTCTCAGTAGAGACCTCAATGTGATGCATAATTAGCTGCCTTAGATGGCCCATTTGAAAGGACGGTGTCCCTTCCCCAGTATAACGTTACTGATTTTGGCACAGAAAAGAAGTCTTAAGTATGAGAACATGATAAAAAAAAGATGGAAGAGAACAGAGGAAAGAAAGAAACAGCAAGAAAGAGTACATGAGCTAGTAGTTGCATCACTGAAAACTGCATTCTCAGCCACTGCAGAATACTAACACCATGATGAAAGATTGGAGGTTTTTCCTGCTAAATTCAAGAATAATTTCAGGATGTTCATGCTCAACATGTTTATTCCACATCATACTTGACATCCTGGCCGGTGCAATAAGACAAGGAAAAGAAATAAATAGATTTGAAAGGAAGAAATAAAATTCTCTCTAACCAGCAAAACCTTGTTCTTTAGTATTAATTATAAATAATTGCTTGAATTTTAACTTCAATTTTTCTCCTTGGAAAAGGTGGTAATGAAGAAAAGTTGAGATCCATTAATCTACACAGGCATACCTTGTTTTATCGCACTTAGCTTTATCACACTTCGCAGATACTCCATTTTTTTTTTACAAATTGAAGGTTTGTGGCAACCTCACATCAAGGAAATCTATTGGTGCCGTTTTCCCAACAGCATTTGCTCACTGTGTCTTTGTGTCATGTTTTAGTAATCTTTGCAATCTTAAAAACTTCTTGTTACTGCATTTGTTATGGTGATCTATGATGAGTGATTATGACTGACTGAAAGCTCAGGTGATGGTTGGCATTTGGGAGTAATAAAGTTCTGTACATTTAATTAAGGCGTACCCCTTTTTTAAGACATAATGCTATTGCACATTTAACAGTCTACAGTATAAATATAACTCCTATACGCACTGAGAAACAAAAAAAAAATCACTTGACTTGCTTTATCGCAATATTTCCTTTACTGCAGTGGTCTGTAACTGAACCTGCAATATTGCGAAGATATATGCCTGTATATCTGTGTGTGTGTTGTGTGTGTGTGTGTGTGTGTGTGTGTGTGTGTGTGCGCGCGCGCACGCGCGCACGTGTGGATAGATAGATAGGTATTGAGTTTTTTTTTTAACCTTAAAGCTGATTGGAATATTTACATAGATAGGCAGACAAACTGGAATAGTCAAAATAAGTCTGAGAAAGAATAAACTTGGAGGAATCACATTATTTCAAGACTTAGTATTAAGGTACAGATACTGGTTAAGGGGGAGACACATAAATCAGTGGAGCAGAATCGTGTGCAACTAAATGCACACAAATTTGGGTAATTGATTTTTGACAAAGATTCAAAAGCAATCACACGGCAAAGGGTAGTTTAACAAATGGTGTTGGAACAACTGGACATCGATAAGCAAAAATCTGAGCCTTGACTTAGACCTCACACATTACAGAAAACTTAACTCATAATGTATTCTAGACTTAAATGTAATGATAACCTTTAGGGGAAAAACACACACACACACACACAGGAGAAAAATCTTCATCATGACTTGGGATTAGTTCTTAAGACACTCCACCAAAAGCAAAGTCCATAAAGAAAAAATTGGTAAATGGAGTCTCATTAAAATTTAAAACTTTTGCTCTGTGAAGACACTACTAAGTGAAAGAAAAGACAGACTCCCAACTGGGAGGAAATATTTGCAAATGACGTACTAACAGAGAACTTGTGTTTTGAATATATAAAGAACTCTCAGAACTCGATAGCAAGATCATAACTTGCTTAAAAATGGGCAAAGGACTTGAACAGACTTTTTCCCATTGGGACTGTCTAGATGGCATGTAAATAGGCAAGTAAAATATGTTCAACATCATTAGGCACTAGAGAGAAACAGAACCAGAATAAGATCCACCTCATACCTATTAGAATGGCTATAATAATAAAAAAATATAATACCATGTTTGTCAAGGATAAGGCACAGCTAGAATTCTTATATGTTGTTGGAGTAAATACAGAATGGTACAACCATTCTAGAAAACATTTGGGAGTTTCTTCTGAAGTTAAACATACGCTAATCATATGACCCAGCAATCTCACATGTGGGTGTTAACTTTAGAGAAATGAAACTCAAGTTCACACAAATGTTTACAGCAACTCCACTCATGACGTCATGACCACCAAAAACTGGACACAACCCAGATGTCCTTCAACAAGCGAGTGAATAAAAAACGAAACAAACCCACTTTGGTACATTCATACAATGGAGAGTTGCTTGGCAATGAAAAAGGTCATCAGCTGTTGTTCCTTATGACAGCTTGGGTGGATGTCACAGGCATTATTGCTGAGTGAAAGCAGCCTGTCTGAGAAAGTTCCATCCTGTATCATTCCAGTTCTAGGATCGTCTCTAAAAGGACAAACCTAGAGGGAAGGAGAACACACCGTTAGTTTACCTGGATTGGGGAAGGGGATTCATACCAAGAGGCCTGGGAGAGTGTTTCGAGGTGAGGGAGTGGTTCTGAATCCTGACTGTGTGGGGAAGAAACACTTGACTGGTATCAGTTTTTTTTAAAAGCTGGATTGACTGGGTTCCTTTTCTGAGAAATAGGGATCTAGGCAGGCTGGCTGGCTCATAAAAACAGCTTGTAAGACCATGTCGGTCATCTCAGGAAAGGACTCGGGAGTGAACAGGTCAGCTTGCCACAGAAGCATGCTGGTGGGCTCACGTGCCTTACAGGGGCTGTTCCGACGAGGGGCAAAAGTCAGAGTGACCGTGAGGTCACCTAAGTGTATCTTGCTGCCCTTTGAGAGGACCTTGTGATCCCTCTCTCTCTCTGAGGGTGGTGGAGATGGAATCAGGTGGCCATTCTAAGACCGTTCCAGCTCCCATGCTGGCAGGCCACTAAATGCCACCTTCCTGGAGGGACCCAGCTGTGTCCAGTACCAATGTGGCTTGAGGACTGGGATGCAGAGAGGAGGTGCCACCGCGCAGCTGTGGCTTTGCTACCTTCACTGAGCCACACTAGGTCTTGAGGGTGCTCTGCCCTTGGAGCACAGGGACGTGGGGAATGTCCCAGCACTCCAGACGAGGTCAGACACTGCAGAGGTGGACAGCCTGGAGCTGTGCGTGGCTGGTGTACTGTCTCCTGGGGCCCTTCCACTGGCCCGGCCGCCCTGCCCTGTAGCAGCCTCTTGGTGCCCCTTGGTTCCTCAGGACTGGTACCGAGGTAGGACTGTGGGAGGTGGGGAGGCATAGGAGTGGTGCCACATGCCTTCCGGTATCCGGCTCTGAATAGATGTCCGTAAATGTTCAGCACTGGGCATTCCCAGCCGCCTGGCGGGGGCAGCCCCCCACCTAATTCTCAGCTGCTGCCTGTTCTGGGATCAACCCAGGCTCAGGGGGATGGGTGGGGGAAGGGGGTTCTGTGGTCCAGATGTCTGCTTGTTGTGAGTTCTTAACTTCTGGGCCCCCTTGATCAGAGTGCCTCATTCCAGAGAGGCTCAGATGATAACTAAAGTTTTTGAGAACATCTCGTGTTTGGCTTGGGACTGTTTTAAAGCACTTTCACAGCCATGAACCCTTTTGATTGTCCCCACAGCAGCACTGTGTGGGCTCAGCAGGGTCAGTGTCTTCTGTCGCACAGAGGAAGAAAGTGTGACTTGAAAGGTCAGGTGGCTGGAGGTGAAGGGCGGGGTGGGGGGGGGGTGGTTCTCAGTAACAGGGCAGACCCAGGGCTTCTTGCTTCTAGCCTGGGACTCTTGTATTACTAGGTTCTGTGCATACTCAGGGGCTGCCTTCCCAGGGCCTCCCTGTCCTACAGAACGTGTCATGTCTGCTACAGTCTGAATGTGTCCCCCCCACTCAAATTTCTATGTTGAAACCCAGCCCCTCATATGATGGTATGAGGAGGTGAGGCCCTCGTCAGACAGGGTTGGTTGGCCTTATAAAATGAGACCCAGTGAGTTCTCGCCCCTTCCACCACATGAGGGCACCGTGAGAAGACCCCACCTATGAACTGGGAAGCTCATACAAGACACTGAGTCTCTTTGATCTTGAACTTCCTGGCTTCCAGAACGGTGAGAAATAAATGTCTATTGTTTATACCCCCCCACCCGCCCATGGCATTTTGTTATAGCAGCTCAATTGGACTGAGACAGTGTCCAGTAAGCAGACCTTGCTCCGCTAACCCCACAGCTCCCAGTCCTCACTGTCCGGGACAAGGGAAGCTCCAGTTCACCTCGTGCTCTCCACCCTTGGGGCTCTTGGAGCCTCCCCATCCTCAGCAGCAACGGAGTGGATTATTGCTGTGCTTGCGTGCAGTGTCGTGAGGGTCAGAGGTTGCGCAGATCAGGCACTTGTTATTACACGGCAACACACAGCTGGAACTGCTCCCCGCCTAGACGCTGACCCCAGTAAGCCACTTTGTGCCTCTCCCCCACTTCTGCCAGGGCCAGCATGTGACCCCAGTGCTGTTCTTGTTTTCTCGTCTCTGTAGACCTATGTGTCCCAGTGGCCCTGGACGCTCCTGCTCCTGGCTGTCAGCGGCTTCTGTAACTTTGCCCAGAATGTCATTGCCTTCAGCATCCTCAACCTCATCAGCCCTCTGAGCTACTCCGTTGCCAATGCCACCAAGAGAATCATGGTCATCACGGTGTCCTTGATCATGCTGCAAAACCCAGTCACCAGCACCAACGTCCTAGGCATGATGACAGCCATCCTGGGGGTCTTTCTGTATAACAAAGTGAGTCTGAGGTGGGGTGGGGTGTCCCCTCGATACCCAAGGAGGCACCAAGAGTCGGTGAAGGGGAGAAGAAAGGGCCTCACCCTGAGCCAAGAGGCTGGGGTTCCAGCTCCCAGCTTTGTGGCTGACTGGTTTATGGTGTTGGTGTGGCCCTTCCTAGCCCGGCTTTCCTTTTCCTGTGTAGATTATTCTGGGTCCGTGCCATACTCCAGCTGTGGCTTTTGGGTCTGTGGAGACTCTGTCAGGGATCTCACGGTCTCCTCAAGAAGACCGTGTTCGGTCCAGTGTAAAGACACAGATGGCTCATAGGGAGGGCTGGCCATGCCTGAGCCCTGCTAGGGCCAGTGCTTCGGTGGCGCCTTGAAGGGCTGCTCGGATGCCCGTTGCTCCTCTGTCCTGTGCGCATGTCCTGGGGAAGGAGCCAGTTGTCTCACTGACTCTCTTGATCTTGCAGACCAAGTACGATGCCAATCAGCAAGCCCGGAAGCACCTCCTCCCTGTCACAACGGGGGACCTGAGCAGTAAGGAACATCACCGGAGCCCCCTGGAAAAACCGCACAATGGCATCCTCTTCCCCCAGCACGGGGACTATCAGTATGGCCGCAACAACATCTTAACAGATCACTTCCAGTACAGTCGGCAGAGCTACCCAAACTCATACAGTTTGAACCGTTATGACGTGTAGAGTGTAGAGGGCAGGGTGGTAACTGTGTGACTCCTTCCCCCACTCCCTAGCAGTACCAGAAACTTCTGACAACCAGTGAATGTACAACCCAGCCGAGGGGACGGTGCACAACCATCAGAAGACCCTGGGCTTTCCAGCCCATTGGGGGCAGCAGGACGCTGCCCTGCAGCAAGGGCCACTGCCCTCAAGCTCCCGTGTTCCAGGCCCTTTCTTCCTGGAGTCTGTCATCCGAGGGCTGTGTTGCTGTGGAGATCTTGGCCAGGTTTTTACCTTTCTGTGTGGACTTCTTCCCCAAGTTAATGTATTTTGAGAGTTCTCATTCTGCTTTCCAGATGGTATTTCCAGGTAACTCTCCGGAGAGGCGGGATCACTGTGGATGCAGACCTCCCCAAGCAGGCAAGAGGGGGTTCCCGGGGGCCAAGGAAAGGACAGTAGGATCGTGCTGGAGAATGACAAACTAGCTGCTTCAATTCCGCTGCTCAGATAGGCCAAGGGCCGAGGCAGGCATGGAGCAGAGGGGTACTAATTAAAAGCATGTCCAGCAACAAAGATGGACCCAGTTTCCGGCCAACCCCTTGGCCGTTTGCAGTTACTGGCAGATCTTCCAAAGAGAAAAGCTACTGCAATTAGCCTTGAATTCTTGGAGCCTAATTCTTTGACCTGCAAGTCAGAGTCAGTATATGTCCAGATCCAGAGGGAAGGGCAGCTGCTGTCTCCTGTGCCCTCTCTTTCCTAGCCAGAGCAGGGCATCTCTCCTTGCTGGGGACAGCAAAGGGGGAGTGGCTGAGGGGCTGTCAGAGCATTAGGAAATCACGTTCAGTGTTTCAAGCTCTGTTTTTGTAATATTCGTTTTGTCTTTTCTGATGAGTCTTCGCTTCTGTGACGACTTAGTAGGATGTTTGGTGGGGAGATGTTAACTTGATGAGGATCTTGCATTTTTCTAGGGAATATTTTGCAGTTTTGTGTGTTTATGCCGTTGTCTCCTATGGGGGGTGGGGCGCATGAGGACTGGCTTATAGATTGAAAACCCTTTTGTTCTTAAATGTTTAAAAACAAGAAAAACTCCTTCTGGTGATGCGTGTCATGATACATTTCAGCATTAGTAGGAAGCGCTGAAGTTTCTGAAGCTCCTAATGGCCCCAGCCGCCGAAAGCAGAATGAATCAAGAATGTCATCTCAACAGTTTGTGTAATAGATGAGACCACAGCACTTTGATTCCATGACCTGATCTGGTGGGGTGTCTGCATTAGGATCGGAACCATGTCCTGGTGAAGGGGAGAAGCGGCAAGCACCAAGCTAGGATTTGGGTTTGGATAAATCACGTATCAGGAAAATGATGTGGCCCCAGCAGGTAGCCCATGTGCCGAGGTTCAGGTCAGGGTCTCCATCTTTCCTAGCGTCACAAGAGGACGCTGTCCTCGCAGAGGGGACCGCTGGCTCAGCTGCTGGGGTCCCTGGTGATGTCTGCCTTCCTTCGGGGCTGTGCCCAACCTCTTGAATAGGCACTCGGAGGAAGCTGCAGGTGGGACAGTGGGTCACCCTTTATGTCTTGGTGAGACATTTCCCCGTCTGAGGGAGTACCATAGCTTATGATGGACTCCTGGTTTGGTTATTTTTGTCAGCTTATGAGTGGGCTGTTCCTGGAGGTCACCCAGTCCCCTTGTGGCCGGAGTTTATGCACCACCAGCCTCAGGTCCCTGTGTGTTCACGTGTCGTTCACTTTCTTTGTAATTATTTTGGTTGGCCCAAGTTTTGAGACGGTTGCTGTGTAAAACGGGAAGGAGAAATCTGAAGGGCATTTGTGAAGAGTTTGCTGAGTGTCTTCACAGAGGCATTACAGTCTGTAGCTGAACTTTTCTCACTGGTGACTAGCAACAAATGGGGGTAATTCTGCACCACAAAGATACTGTGGTAGTTGTTTTTATGATTATAGTGACTGAGTCCTTGAACAGATAATTGAACTCCAAAATGAACTGTGTGTCTTTTCAGGTTTAATGAAATTTATGATGTTGCTAAAATTTGTATATTGTTTCCCTTTTCCAATGCAAGATCTGCTGGCGAGGGGAACGGACTGGTTTTATTACGGTTTATAAATTAATAAATGGGGTATTTAATTCTGTACATAAATCTGCAGCAAGTACATACACTGGAATGAATGAGACAATCATATTAGACCAAATCATCCGATCAAAAGACAAAGACATACTTTTGAGACTTGAAGGTTCAGAGCTGACACTGACCTCCTGAAGGCCAGTTTTCCAGCCACTTTGGCCCTGGCCTACCACCCCTGCCCACTCCCACATTCCCATTTGCAGCTCTGTTCCCCTCTCCCTCTTCCTTGCTGGGGTTTGTGGCAGGAAATTAATCTACCCATCCATTGTGTGGTCTTGTCTACGACACTAACTCGAACCCAACTCCTTCATTTTACAGAAGGGGAAACTGAGGCTCAGAGGGCATTTTCGAATAGTGTTTGTTCACTATTTTGAGACTTGGTGTGGACTTTTTAAGCACCTTATTTTAAGTCATTCGTTATAGGGAAAATCAAACCCCTATTACAAAGGAGAGAAACCAAACATGTTGAAGTGAAGAAGCACTTGGGATTTCTCAATTTTGCTGTGTATTTGGTATACATCATGCAACAGGCCCTTTATTGTTGCTGGGATACAACCAGACCCGGGTAACTTAAGGTCTAACAGCCTTAAGGGGATAGAACATTAAATTATTAAAGGAACTGAAAATTGTGAATTCTTTTTTTTTCAGTGGTCACCTGTTTTCAAGAATTAAATGCTATAGACTTCTGTGGGATTGATACTGTGTGTATATTCATTGATGGCATTTACCAAAAATAAACGATGGTCTCCAGGGAATCATGACTGGTCCTAATTTGTCAGTGAGGGTCTGAGTGACCCTGTCTTCAGTGTGCCCGGCAACAAAACATGTAAGAGATAGAAAGAACGAACCAACCTGATTCTCACATCTGAGTAAACTGCAACTTTTTTTCCTGAGCCAAAGAGGAGGACATGTGATGTGTGAATTTATGACATGGTAGAATAAAACCAGAGACACAGCTCAGCAGTTAATGACATGCCTTTATTGAACAAAATAACACGGAAAACCCAAGAACGTGTAGCAGCTGTGCTCATGGAGCGTATTTTTGAGGAGTAATGGCTAATAGTGAGACCTGCTCCACGCCTAACACAGTGGTGGATTTTCCCCACACAATCCTTACAAGGTTTATTAACCTTATTTTACAGATGAAAATGGGGGTTGAGGGGGTTATCACACAGGAAGTCTGCCTCCAAAGCCTATTCCCCCCCGCATATTAACTCAGAAACCCATTACCTACAGAATTTCCTTCAGCCACAGTTGAAGAGTAGGAGTTTCTGCTACAACAACTGCCCACATCCTTTTAATTCATAATCCTTTTGTTCACTGATTTACTGAACACTTCATTTGAGTCAAGTACAGGAAACAGATGCCTAGGCCTCAGAGCACGCTTGGCTTAATTTGTAGATGTGTAACTAAGTTAAGTAGCATATAGGGGCTATATTGAAGATATGGAAAACGGTAAGGAAGTACAGGATAATTATTTGAGGGGAATGGAATGGAAATGTTTGCCTTACTACAATTCTCAGGTTATTTTACTTGCATATTTTATATTATACACATCTCATTTAACCATCAGAACCCAAGAGGGAGATACTAGCACCATTTTCTAGGGAAGTGGAAACAAAGCCCATGGACCAAGCCGGGAATCCAGGAGTGTCTGACTCCAAGCCAGGGCCCTTGGCCCGGCAGAGCGGCCAAGATAAAGTGAGCTGTTTTGTTTTTCCTCACCTTTGTCATGTACTCGCCATGAGAGGAGGTGATGTCCTCAGGGGTGTGTCCTTTCGTTGCAGTTGTGTGGGCCATGCTGCCACAGTAAGACCTTGACGGAGCCCTCCCATCTGGGCGACCTGGTGGCTTGGCAGTCCACCACTGTAGCTGCAACGGGGCCTCCAGAGGCTCTGCCCCAGGATGGAGTTGCTGCCTCACAACTCAAGACCTGGTCCTACGGAGAATAACAGCTCATGCTGCACGCGGCCCCGTTGTTCAGACGCTAGTCTCAACTCCTACCTGGGGCTGAACACTCCAGGGACTGGAATACTCCCATTTATCTATCTCCCCAGGGCAACTCCTTTGTGACCAGAGGCTGGCTCGGTGACAAGATCAGGCCCTGAGGAATGCTGCTCCCTCAAAGACTGGATAGGACCTTCTCTGTTCAGGGTTCAGTTACTGTAGGAAACGAGGTTGACAGTAACACCAAGCTTTGGCTTTATTGAGACTACAGGTCTGGATGGGCATTAGACTTCCTTAGTCACCCGCTACTTTTTTAATAACAACTTTTATTGTCTATGTATTTTTTCAGCTTGAAAAAAATTGTTAAAGCTAAAAAATATCTGTACTATACAGACATCAAAAAGAATGAGTTAAGGGTGTCTGGGTGGCTCAGTCAGTCAAGCGTCCAATTCTTGGTTTTGGCTCCGGTCACGATCTTAAGGTTGTGAGATAGAGCACCGAGTTGGGCTCTGCCCTGCCCCCACTTGTGTTCTCACTCTCAAAATAAATAAACTTAAAAAAAGTGACCGTATAAAAGTGGTCACAGGTTTACATAATCATTTGAGGGGACAGTTGAGCATTATCAGTATTAAATGTGCACATCCTACGCTAAATCATTTGAACAGTGGCCTAAAAGTGGAATCAATCAGAGACTCCATAGAGTCTGGCTTGAATAAATTATTGTACGTCCGCATCACACTGTCCTGAGCAGTCACGAGAAATGACCATACAGATTCGTTAACCTGTCTTGGCTCACAGATCCTGTTAAGACTCTAAAAAAACATTGTGTATCTTTAATTCACGAAAACACATATAGGTACAATAGCGTGCTATCTCTGAATTCCACCCGTGGCGGATCACAAATTAAAACCCCGATGTAGACCTTTACTGGCACCTGCAGCCCCCGGATTACTGGGCTTTATACTGAACAGACCAACACCCGTGCTCCTTTTGCCTGGTGTGGTCACACAGCTTGCTGCAGAGTAGGATCTCAGTGCAAACCTCACTTCCCAGGGGCAGGCCAGACCCCCCTCCCTCATCAAGGTCTCGGTACCCAGCTGTTTTCCTTAATAACACTGCTGGAATGACGTATTTGTCTACTGATTTATAGGTCTCTGCCCCTCCTGGGCTGCCTGCTCAGGAGAGCAGAGTTCAGGCACCACTGGGACATCACAAGCCACGTTCAGCCTGCTTTTCCGTGAACCAAGAATAGTCTCTACTAGGGAACATCTGCAATCAACTCATGCCAGGGAAGACCGACTTAGAACCGCCAAAAAAAGCATTCTGTTTTTCTCAGCAGACCTGTATTTTGAAAACTGCTTAATCATTACATTCTGAATACCACCAATAAAAAACTGTTAGGGACATTTTCTCTTTGGTTACGCAAGTACCTACATAATATGCTCCGTTTTGCCTCTTCGCCCACAGAGCCTGAAATATTTGCTATCTGGCCCTTTATAGAGAAAGTTTGCCAATTCCTGGCCTAGAGCAGTATCTGACATACAGGAGATAATCCATGAGCGTCAGGTGGCGAAATTTGTAACCAAAGAGAAAAGTATCTAAAATGTATGGACACTCATTTGCACAGAAAAAATAGGGACGTAGAGCCAACCAAGCGTTAATGGCAAATCTCAAGAAGGTCGGATGGCCGGGACGTCCAGTCTACGTTCTCTAACGTTTACGGCTGCTGCTTTTATCTTTCCCCACCATCAGCACGCGTTCGCTTCGTCATCATTTGAGAAGGAATGTGCATCTTTCAGGAAGGCGCCGAGCCCACTGGGCGCGCAGTCTAGAAGGCCGGGCACCCGCAGGTCGTGGGCGCTCATTCCACGCCGCTTGAATGACTGCACGGAAACCACGCGAGCCCCAAGGGGACGCAGTCTGTGGCCGGCGAGGGTGGCGTAGGCCCCCCGCCCCAAAGTCTTCCTTACCAAAGCGTTGGGTCGAGCGAAAGAAACTGAGCGGAAGGATCTTGTGAAGTTCAACAAGCCCAGTTCCATCCCCGCCAAACCCGTCGCCTCCCGGTTCTAACGCCCGGGAAGATGTGACCGGCGTCACGGCCCGGGAGCCTCCCGGACGCACCTCACCTCGTAGTCTTCTCACCTCAGCCTCGCGAGAAGGAAACACAGGCTTTGACCGGCGCAGGGACTCCCCAGGCAGCTGTCCAGCGGAGCACGCAACCTGCCAGGCCCTCCAGCTGCGACGCCGGCTCGGGAGAACGCCGCGGCGGCGGCTAACGGTAGTCCGCGCCTTTCCCCACGTTCCGGGGGGGAGCGCGACAGCGGCCCACTCCGCGCAAGCGCGGGAAGGCCCCTGCGCGTGCGCATCACTAGCGACCAGTATCGCGCGGCTTCTTCCCGCCCGCCTTCTGCCCTCCCTTCCGCGGTTTCCCGGCGACGGCCGTAAGTGGAGGGCGGAAGCCGCCCGCGAGACCAGCCGTAAACGGCTCCCTCGCGCCACTTCCGGCCGGCTTCCGCAGACGGGGCTGGTGGGCGATCGTGAGGCGCCGGAGGACGTTCCTTGCGGCCGGAGCCATGGAGATGCCCCTGCCGCCCGACGGTGAGGCCCAGCCTCGGCTCGGGGACCGTTTCTCTCTCCCCGGAATCCCTTCTTGGCCCGCCCCGCCTTCCGGGGTTTCCGGGCCTAGGAGGGGGCGGGGCTCGGCCTCCCGGGTTCGCCTGCGGCCTCTCCCGCGGGTCCCCGCATCCCCGGCGCGCGTGTGGCCTCTATCGGGACCCGTACAAGGGCGGCCTCTCCGGGGCCCAGCCCCAGGGACCCCGGCCCGGCGGACGGGGGCTGGGACGCCAGGGCTCCCGGATTTGGGCGGTCCTCCCTGACGCCCCGCGTGGCCTTTTCTCCGTCCTCCAGACCAGGAGCTTCGAAATGTCATCGACAAGCTGGCCCAGTTCGTGGCTCGCAACGGGCCCGAGTTTGAGAAGATGACGATGGAAAAGCAGAAGGACAACCCGAAATTCTCGTTTCTGTTCGGAGGCGAGTTCTACAGTTACTACAAGTGCAAGTTGGCGCTGGAGCAGCAGCAGCGTGAGTTCTCTCCAGCTCTCAGGCCACCCCTTCCAAGCGATTCCTTTCTCCGACTCCAGTTCGTGCTCTGCCACAAACCGCCTTCTTTCGGCCGCATGCTCAGTCTCCAAAAATGGGGCAGCTCGGCCTTCACGATCCCAGGGCCCTGCCCCGAGCGGCTGCTGGGTCCGAGTGTAATAGAGAACGAGGTTATTGATCCTCTTCCTGGGCTCCGGATCAGGGATTTCTGTATTGTTTTGCAGATGTGATGACTTAGGTCAGCAGAAGTAGAGTGGCCGCTTCAGTGTTTTCCAGAGCGGAAGTGATAGAGGCTGGACTGGGACCCTAGTGGCAGGTGTCCAGAACCCTTTGCGGGACTCTTGGGTCTAGCAAGATTTTTGTGCATTTCAGGTGTTTGCAGTCCAAATCTAAAAGACTTGTTCTCTGGGTTTTAGTTCTTGGCAGATGTTTGCCATTTCTTTATGTTCACTGAGTTGTGTATCAGGCTTCCAGCCCTGCCCTCAAAGAGTTTAAAATGGGTTTAGAATGGCCTTTGAATAATAGTCACCACGTGGTAAGAGCCCACATCTGTCTTGTTTAGTATCACATTTCAAGCTTGTAGATGACATTAAATGAATGAGTAGGGGGTTGCCAAGTGGTAGGCATCGAAAGGTGTATATTTCCTAAGACTATAGGTTTCCTGAAGCCAACCAGACCTTGTTTGGGTCGTTGTGTTATATAATACGTGGTAGGTAGTAGGTGTTCAATAAAAAGTTGGTAAGAAACAGCAAATGTGCGTTGGCTTGAATAAACACGGTGTGTTTAGGGAGCCATAAGAGTACTGTGAGAAGCCCACCATGGCTAGAGCCTAGAACGTGTGTAGAGGAGGGAAGGGTTTGAGCTGGAGTGATAAATACCAGGGGAAAGTTTGGATTTTCTCCCTCATTCCAGTAGTTCATTTGGTGCCAGTTAGGAGTTAGGTTTGAGGTGTAGGTGGGGGTTTGCCTGCAATTGTAGGCAAATTGTCGTATGCACTTAAGTGTTTTGGAGCAACCATTCATCAGCCCCAGCACGTCACCCAGCTGCTACAGGCAGTGGAAAGCCACGAGAGTGTTTGAAAGAAGGGAGAGGTGGGTCAGGTTTGTGGGGCCAGTGTGGAGGACAGGGTGGAGGGAGTGTGAATGGAGGCTGGGACCAGTGAGGTCTGCACGTGACGGAACAGGGCATTTGATGGTGAGGTCTGAATTAGGTCAGCAGGTTGGGTCAGAGGGAGTGGGCATGGGGGCAAGTAGGGTTAAGGGGTAGAATCCATGAACTAGGGCCCCAGTTGGATATTTATGAGGGTGTCATAACCAGGCAGAGGAGGACAGTGCTTTGGCCCAAGTGACCATGAGGTGAGGTGCTGTTTTCCCTGCAAGGGAGCCCACTTCCTCCCTGGACTGTCAGAAATTGGGGGCTGCTTGGGACTTGGCATTATAACGGGGGGGAAGGATGGGGTGCTTCTAACAGGGGGAGTTGGCTCAGGAAATGTCTTCTGCTGGTAATGACATCTCTGCTGAGATTAAAGAGGATGTCAGAGTTAGTCAGATGGAAACAGAGGAGAGCAGTGTTTAGGCAAAGGAAAGAGCCTTAGGGAGGGTTGGGAGTGGAGGGAGCAACAGCTCAGGGTGGCTAAAACGCAGAGAAGGAAGGATTGTTGGAGTGGACAGAGGCCAGGGTACAGATGACGGAGGGCTGGCTTGCCAGGGACTTAGGAATTCTGGAAGCTTTTGGGGAGATCTTGGAGGATTTCAGTACTGTGTTCTGGAGCAGGCTTAGCCACTGTGTAGCTGGCCCTTCACCCTGGTAGTTTGAGAAGAGTGAGCCCCAAGACTGTTCTAGAATGGTGCTTCACAAACTCTGGTGAAGAATTAGATTTTATTTTTCATTTTTTTAAAACCCAGCCTGCTGTGGAAAGTGTACTTTTGCAAAATACAACAAAGTGAAGTGCGAACCATCAAGCCGCTATGAAGATGCCAGAATGATCGTTGGCCATTTGTATATTCGGTCCGGGTTTCGCCAAGGGCTGACCCTCGGACCACACTTTGACCAGCAGCACTCTGGCTGTGGTATTGCGAAGAAGTGTAGAGGGCAGGACTGGACTCGGGAGACCAGTTCCAAGGGTGATGCAGGTGACAGCAGAGTCACAGCAGTGACGGCAGGGACACAGATCGGAGTGTGATGTAGGAGGTTCCGACTTGACTACCCGGGGTGACCTGTCAGTGTAGGGTGCAAGGGAGTGGGGAGTGCCCAGACCTCCTGGGCTTCGGGCGTGGGCCTAACTGTGCCAGCCGCGGAGCTTGGGAAGGGCCCTGGAGAGGTGGAGCACGTGGCGAGAGGACACGTGTGCCTGTTTGAGGTGCCTGTGGAAAGCCCGTGGGCTGTTGGGTCTGTAATCGGATCCACAGTGCGAGGAATACAGGATGGTGACAACAGAGGTAGGAGCCGTGGCTTGCAAACGTAACTGCAGCCTCAAGTTACCATGTCACGCTCCCCTGTGGGCTCGCGCAGAGAAGAGGGTGGAACTAGGCATCCCAGCATCCCAGGGTCGGGCAGAGAAAGACGACGGGGCCTGCGGGCAGCCACACAGGCCAAGTGAGACTGGGACCTGAGACCGGGCCGCCGGCCTGAAGAAGGATGCCCACAGGGGTTGGCGGGAGGGGGGTGCAGAGCCAGACCGCCATGGAACGAGATAAACGGGAGGCGCAGAATTAGAGATGAGCCTCAGCTGTAAAGTTGTTGAGAGGAGGCGTGAGGCAAAGTTTTTAAAGACAGAAACTGCTGAGGAGGCTGGGGAACGAGAGACCCCCTTGGGGTGGGGCTGTTTATGATCTGGGTTCAACTTGGGCTGGGGCCTGGGTGAGGGGTGGAGAGGGTGGGGGGTGATGGACTCAGTCTCAGCTGGAAGGCCAGTGGGCAAGGCTGGATGGCAGGCTAGGGAAGGGCAAGGTGACGTCACACAGAAGAGGGCCCTTAGGGTCGAGGGCAGGACTAGGGCCCTTCGAGTTGAGGGCAGAGCGGGAGGAGCCGGGCTCAGAGTGAGGGGCTGCCGTGCAGCATGGGGGTCCTCTTGTGGACGGCTCGAATAGGGAGGGGAAGTCTCTGCGCCTTGGAGCTGCCCAACGGGCAGCCGCGGGGACGCTTGGACCCTGGCCACCTCCTCATGGGGGCCACCCTTCCTCCTCTGTCACCAGTCATCTGCAAGCAGCAGGCCCCAGAGCTGGAGCCGGCCGCGGCCCTGCCGCCCCTGCCGCAGCCCCCGCTGGCCCCGGCTGCGCCCATCCCGCCGGCCCAGGGAGCCCCATCCATGGACGAGCTCATCCAGCAGAGCCAGTGGAACCTGCAGCAGCAGGAGCAGCACCTGTTAGCTCTCAGACAGGTACAGGGCCTGCTCCTCCTCTGCCCTCTCCCTCCCTCCCCTGCTGGCCCTGGGAGGAGGGGGGTCCCGAGGAGGCCTGGGGCCCTCCCTGCTTCCCCTCTTGGTCCTGAGGCAGGTAGCCGGAGCTCAGCCTGGGCCTCAGCGTTTGCATCTGTGTGTTGGGACTAAGAACGGTTATCAGAAGAATCCGCCGCCATGTGCCAGCACTGAAGACAGGGCTGCCACCCCTTGGGATGTGTTTAGCGGGGCCCCTGACGCGGGACACAGTTCTTCGTGAAGTCATTCCACAAGCTCTTTGACGCGCGGACACCCTCCGTGATGGGGTGGACGTCCACAAGTGGGGCCACGCGCTCGAAGGCCGGGTGGCCTCTGGTGCCGTTGGCCCCAGCTCCTGCCAGCTAGGCCACCCCAGGCTGTCACGGGGAAGGACCCTTTGGTCCTGATTTGTCATGGTTTGAGTTTTTGGCAAAGTACAGCAGGACGAATTGCCAGAAAGACGATGAATAAAAAATAAAACACCTGAAGCGCCAGCTCCTTTTTTATTACCAGATTCAGGATGTAAGACTACTGTCATTTTGCCGCAAACAAAACCTTCTGGAACACTCCCCCTCGGTTCCCATGCAGAGCTCGTCCGGGACTGGGTGGCCCGGCTCGGCCAGCCCTGAGCTGACTGCACAGCCCGCAGCAGCGCTGGGCCTCAGCCACTTTGCGGTCTGCGAATCTAGTGTGCGAGACCCGCGCCACATTTTAACTCGCGTGTCCCCGACTGCTAGTGTGGTTGCTCTCTTTTCCCTTGACCGGTGACCGTATGTTGTCTTTGGACTGTTTGTCCACACTGGTCACTCAGTTTTCATTCTGTTTTTGTTGAATTGATTGGCTGCCCCTCTGGGTGTTCGTTTTTCCATCCATCGCCTCGGGGGCAGATATCATCTCTTGCCACGTTTTGTCTTGTTCTATCTTCTCCCTGCCTGCCCTGGTCACGGCTGTGACCATGACTGTCCCAGATGCGTGTCTCGGGCTTCAAGTGTGAGGGACAGGACCTCCCGATGCTGGGGGCAGGGCGTGGATGGGCCCGGCTCAGCCTGGGCTGAGGTCCCTCCTCACTCAGCCTCCCTCCTGCTTGGCCTCCCAGGAGCAGGTGACAGCGGCCGTGGCCCACGCGGTGGAGCAGCAGATGCAGAAGCTCCTGGAGGAGACCCAGCTGGATATGAATGAGTTTGACAACCTGCTTCAACCCATCATCGACACGTGCACCAAAGATGCCATCTCGGTGAGTGCGGGAGGGGGGGTTGGGCGG